ACGAGCCGAACACGAACACACTTTTTGAGCTCAAAATATAAACGAGCTGAACTTAGAAGTTAAAAGTAATGGTGTTTTTGAAGTGTTGATAATTTTGGGTGTTAAAAATTTTAAAAATAATATTTAGATGTTAGATGTATAAATACATAAGAACTAAAGTTTATCTATTTAAATGACCTACAAGAAAAATTACTATGAGTTGTCATTCTAAAAAATTCTTTTTTTTTCTTTCCTCTTCTTATGTTCTTTTTTTTTTTTAATTACTCTGGAACTTATTTATGATGTCTAATGCATAAAGCTATTAACCCGTAGTATCAACAAATGTAAATATGTATTGATGCGTGCTAGAAAATTCGCTGCAGTATGGTAATATGTTGTTATTTCAGCGTGATACGAAGATTCAGCACACACTCAGAAGAGAGAAAATTGACAAAAAAGACATCAGAAGTTCTTATGCGGAAAACATTTTATTATTGTTTTAGCATGGTACAAATATTAGCACACACTCAGAAAAGAGAAAACAATCAGCAGAGACACTAGAAGTTCATAAGTAGAGAAGTCGTAAAGGGAAAAACTACGAGATCTGACTCAGTTGAAAAGTTTGAGTATAAATGATGATTATAATTGTAACAACTTCTCTCAAAGGCAAAAAGTGTTAGAAGATCTCCCAAGTTACTACGCACAAATAAATTTGTTGTCAGGAACGGACGACGACCGATAACAATCAACGGAAGCTAGCAGATGGTGTTTGACGGTGGCTGGTGGTATTCGACGACAGTTGGTCATATTCTACAACAGTTAGTGGTGGTCGACGGCAGTCGACCGCGGTCATCACTGGTGGGTGCGGTTTAATGGTTGATCACTGATACTCAGGATAACGATGAATTTCTTCTGCACTGTAACGTGAAAAAAGATATCATTGATCGTTTGTTACACATGATGATAACGATTTTTTTCTACATTGCAACACGAAAAAAGATCTTGTTACTTTCTAGCTACGAATAATGAAGACGACTTTTTTTTTTTTTTTGTGCCGCAACTCGAAAGAGGATCCTCTTTGTTAGTTTGCTATGAGAGTGGGGAACTTTCTTCTTTTGAGAAATCTCTGATCTATTTTTGGCCTCAAATTGAATTACAACTTTAAATGAAAAAGAAACGTTTTTATTTAAAAATAACTATATATATTTTTTAAATCCACTCGTTCGGCAGCCCGTTCCAATACCACCGAATTCCAAGCGTCCGGCGGGCCCCACCGAATTCCTCTTGCTCCAATGACTCCATTACGGCGCATAAGGCAAGCTGGGCCAACTAGGTTATGCATGTTTTTTTAGAATATCCTCGTATAGGCGTATGCATTATACTTGTTACCTTATAAGATATATAAATATATTAAATACAATAATAAAAATAAAAAGTACTTGGATTTCGATAAAAATAAGAAGTCCTTGGATTTCGGTATTTCCACTTAATATTTTCAACCATCAAAATTAGTCTCGCATGAAAATAGAGAGACAACTAATACACCTCCAATAAATTTTCATCATTCAACACGAATTTCGATGCAATCTGTTGGGTAAGAAATATTCAAACTTTGATAAAAATTCATCTAGTACTTCAATTTCAACAAACTTGTAGTCAAATTGGTCGGCTCGACGGGACGGACCCAATGGTTCCAACATTGATCCGAACTAAACTGAGCCCCGGTCAAGCTGTTAAACGACTTTTTGAAGTTTTTGGATACATTTGGAAGGTTTAATGGATTTTGAATCTGGTGAGTTGAATCGGGCATCCAAAAAACATAAGATCGCTCAATTCTGATATTGTTAAGGGTCTCAAATATCCATCAAATGTCGTCTAATCGACGAAATTTTTAATTTGATCAAAGTAATTCACATTCCTGCATTAATTACACTCGGGACATTGTAAATTGAGTTCCACCCTCTCATGAGGGAGGGGAGCTTGAAGCCAGAAGAAGAGCTTGAAGCTTAAGGACTTGAAGTTTAGCATCACCTCGTCATTGATTGTCGTTCACCGCCTCTGGTCACTGCTGACCACCAGTCACCAATAGCTTTCGACCATCTCTCGTCAGTTGTTGTCAATTACCATCGGCTGCTACTCACTTCTTATAACAAATTCATTCACGCACCTACATTGTAACTCTGAAGAATGTTCAACTATTTCCCGCACGTGTGACAAGTGAATATATATGTTTATAGTGGATTTCTTCAGTCGGGATAGACCCCTTTATTTTTTTTTTTTCTAGGTTTTTCACGTAAAAATTTATGGTGTCTCTATTAATTATTCTTTTTATCAGTGTGTGCATTGAATTCTCGTGCAATTGAAGTCTCTAAGTGCGGGAGTCCCGTGAGGAATTGCAACCGTCAATTTTTGTGTCTTGGAATTGAGAATTTTTTTATTTTTGCTTTTTTTTACTTTGAGAATGGATGTTATGAGTGGAATTATTATAATAGCTGCGCAATTTTATTAAGATAGTCCGATGGTAAGAACTGGCATTGGTGTAATTTTGAGAAACAGTGTAGAAGTCATACATCACATTCGAACGTGGATGTTTTGAGTTATCGTGGTTTGTTTCATGAAGTTCTAAGGGCTATGTAACTGCCAACAACATTAAGCGTTAGTAGGATTTATTAAATTCATAAATTAGAAATATATTAAATTTAGCCGCCGACCATCTCTCGCCAGTTTCTATCAATTACCAACGGCTGCCACTCACTTCTTACAACAAATTCATTCACACACCTACATTGTAATTCTGAAGAATGTTCAACTATTTCCCGCCCGTGAGACAAGTGAATATATATGTAATATACAGTTTATAGTGAATTTCTTCAGTCTGGATAGATCCCTTTATTTTTTTTTCTAGGTTTTTCACGTAAAAATTTATGGTGTCTCTATTAATTATTCTTTTTATCAGTGTGTGCATTGAATTCTCGTGCAATTGAAGCGCTAAGACGATAACCCATGATTCTACCATCATAAATCTTCTAGCACACAACATATATTTTACTTTTCCGAACAAATTGTTTTCTTGGACAATTACACTATATTGCAATATATATTTTCATATGCATAAAATTTGATGTATAAAGTGGCGGCAACGTTTTATTTGTTGGTGATAAATCATTGAAAAAAAAAAAAACCATCATATTTCAACATACTTTCTATTTGTAGTATAAATTAGGAGAGCCCAAAAGTAAAGATATTCCATTTAATTTTCACATTATATTCAGTAAACAAAAAAAAGCTTGTGATTTGTTTGGAACAATAATTTTGTTACATAAAAAAAAGGTTATACTTTTGTGAGGATTCTCCGGGTAAAGCAAATATTACATGTGACATCTGCATATATTGATTTGTGGTATTGGATTGGTATTTACCAGAATACTACCCAAATACTTTCAATCTGCACCTAACGTGTCTGCACTTAATATTTTTCCTCAGTCAAAATAATTGTGTGATCTTCAGAATTTGTTTTGTATCAATTAAAATGCTTATTTAGACTTTTGAAAATTATTTTGACCTATATGTTTATGGTTTATTATTCTCATTTTAGTAAAGAAACAAAATAATATTATATTTGTTTGTATCTCTGATTCAACTTTAATCGAACGGTTGAATTTTAAATAACAATATAGTAAAAAAAATCTTTTAATAAATTTGATCCGCACCGACACATGTAAGTGCGGGAGTTCCGTGAGGAATTGCAACCGTCAATTTTTGGAAAAATTATTCCATGCGGATCGGCATCCGCACGCAGCT